GCTTAACCAACTGAGCCACCCAGGCGCCCGCCAGAATGTCTTTTTATACAGTTGGCTTGTTTGACTCAGGACACAAAGTCCAAACATTGCATTTGGTTGCTGTTCCCATCAAGTTTTTCTTAATCTGTGAGAGTCCCCTCTATCATGTATGTATCTTTAGCCTGTGGAAATAGAATTGACTTAAACTGCATATATTGGAAGTATACAATTTGATATATATATATATTTTTAAATTTTATTTACTTTTGAGAGAGAGAGAATGAGAGAGAGAGAGAATGAGAGGGATGAGGGTCAGAGGGAGGAGCAGACTCCCCGCCGAGCAGGGAGCCCGATGCAGAACTCGATTCCGGGACTCCAGGATCATGACCCGAGCCGAAAGCAGTCGCTTAACCAACTGAGCCACCCAGGTTCCCCTGATATATATATTTTTAAGATTTTATTTATTTGACAGAGAGAGAGAGAGAGAGTGCGCACAAGCAGGGGGAGCGGCAGAGGCAGAGGGAGAAGGAGAAGGAGACTCCCAGCTGAGCAGGGAGCCCGATGTGGGGCTTGATCCCAACACCCTGGGATCATGACCTGAGCCGAAGGCAGACGCTTAACGACTGAGCCACCCAGGTGTCCTATTTATTTTCTTTATTCCTTGTTGTGCTGGTTAGAACTTGTAGTACAATGTGGAAATAAAAGTCATCAGAGCACAGATCCTTCTACTGTTTCTAATCTTGAAAAGCCTCTCATCTTCCACCACTTACTGTGACGGTACAGCTCCTAGCTTTCCACTGATGCCCCTCGTCAGTTTAAGGAAGTTACCTTTTATGCCTAGTTTGCAAAAAGTTTTAAAATCAGGAGGAGATGTTGGATTTTGGCAAGTGTTCTTTCCTCCATCTACTGAGATGTACAGTTTTCCTTTTCTTTTGGTTTGTTAATATGGTAAATTACATCGATTAATTTCTTAGTGTTAGAACAGCCTTGCATTCCTGGGATCAACACCACCTGGTCATGATGAATTATCCTTCTTATATATTGTTGGGTATGATTTGCTAAAATTTTCTTTAGAATTTTTACATTTTTGTTCAAGAGGGATTCTGGTCTATAGTTTTCTGTTTTCTAATGTTTTTGTCTAGTTTTGGTATCAGATGTTGCTGGCTTTACAGGATGAAATGGGAGGTATTCCTGCCTTTTCAATTTTCTGGAGTTTGTATTTTTCTTCCTTAAATGTTTGATAGAACCCAAGAGAAACCATCTGCCTTGAGGTTTCTTTTTTTTGAAAGGTTTTAGACTACAAATGCAGTTTTCCTGATAGATACAGGGCTGTTTATCTTTTCTTCTTGAATGCGCTTCGTTCATTAGGGGTCTTTCATGGAGTCTGTCCATTTCGTATTAGTTGCCATAGAATTGTTCATAATACTCACTTACTACCCTTATAATCTGTAGTGAAGTCATTGCTGTCATTTTTGAGTTTGCTAATTTGTGCCTTCTCTCTTTTCCTCCTGATCAGTTTGGCCAGAGGCTTATCAATTTTATTGATTTTTTTCTTAGAGCCCCCATTTTCCTCTTTTCTAGTTCACCGACTGCTGCTCTGATGTTATTATTTCCTTTCTTCTGTTTACTTTGGATTTTATTTGCTCTTCTTCCCCAGTTTCTTAAGGTATAAGCTGATGTACTGATTTCAGAACTTATAGGCACTGCATTAGTGGAATCTTAAAAATTTTGATATTCTGTGTTTTCATTTTCATTCGGTTCAAATGATTCATTTCCCTTTTATCTTTTATCCCATGCCTTATTTAAAAGTTAGTTTCTAAACTTTTAAGAGTTTTCCCAAGATTTTTGTTATCCATTTCTGATTTTTTATTAAGACTTTGTCAGAGAGAGAGAAAGAGCGCACAAGCAGGGGGAGCGGCAGGCAGAGAGGGAGAGGGAGAAGCAGGCTCCCCACTGAGCAGAGAGCCTGCGAAGGGCTCGATCCCAGGACCCTGGGTGCATGACCCAAACCGAAGGCAGACGCTCAACCGACTGATCCGCCCAGGTGCCCCTGATTTCTGATTTAATTCCAAGTGGTCAGAGAACATATTCTGTAGGACTCAAATCCTGTTAAATCCATTGAGACCTGTTTTATGGCTCAGAGTACATGTCAAAAGATTGGATGGAATGTTCTTTAAATGTCAATCAGTTCAAGTTAACTGATGATGTCTGTTTAAATCTTTTACATACTCACTGATTTTCTGTCCACTTATTCCTTTCAATTGTTGAGAAAGGGATTCTGAAATCTTGGACTGTAACTGTAGGGCTGTCTACTTCTCTCTGCAGCATCCCCTTAGTTTTCACTTCACATTATTTTGGAGCTTTCTTATTAGGAGCATAAATGTTTAGGTGCCAGGTCTTCTTACCAATCTACCAATTTCTGATTAAGAAGTGACACTCACCAAGTGACCGAGTCACCCAGGAAGTCCCCTGAGAACAAGAACTGTCCTACTTTCTGTCTTTATGATTTTGACTATGCTAAGAACCTCATGTTAGTGGAGCCATAAGGTATTTGTCTTTCTGTGACTGGTGTATTTCACTTAGTGTATGTCCTCAAGGTCCATCAGTGTTGTAGCGTATTGCAGTTGTCTTCCTTTTCAAGGCTAATGATATTCTATTGTATGCACATGCCACATTCTGCTTATCCATTCATCTGTCGGTGGACACCTGGGTTGCTTCCATGTATCAGCTATTGCGAATAAAACTGCAATCAATGGGGCACCTGGGTGGCTCAGTTGGTTAAGCGACTGCCTTCGGCTCAGGTCATGATTCTGGAGTCCCAGGATCGAGTCCCACATCGGGCTCCCTGCTCGGTGGGGAGTCTGCTTCTCCCTCTGACCCTCCTCCCTCTCATGTGCTCTCTCTCATTCTCTCTCTGTCAAAAAATAAATAAAATCTTTAAAAAAAAAAAAACTGCTATCAACATGGTGTGCAAATATCTCTCTTCTTTCATTTCCTTGGGTATATCAAGAAGTGGAATGCTGGGTCATGTGGTAATTCTACTTTTAATTTTTTTAGGAACCTCCATACTTCTTTCCATAGCAGTTGTACAATTTTACATTCCCACCAACAGGGCACAAGGCCTCAAATTTCTCTCTATTCTTGCGAACACTTATTTTTTTAGTTTTTATTTAAATTCTAGTTAGTTAGCATACAGTGTAATATTAGTTTTAGGTGTACAATGTAGTGATTCAACACTT